ATGGAGATACCTCCAGAAGATCTTTTATTGTAGAGGATTGTTTTAGCAATTCTCGGTTTCTTGTTATTCCATATGAAGTTGAGAATTTTTCTTTCCAGGTCTGTAAAGAATCATGTTGGCAATTTGATGGGAATTGCATTAAATCTGTAGATTGCTTTTGGTAAGATGGCCATTTTTACTAGGTTAATCCTGCCAAGCCATGAGCATGGGAGATCTTTCCATCTTCTCATATCTTCCTCTAATTCTTTCTTCAGAGACTTGAAATTTTTTTCATACAAGTCTTTGACTTGCTTGGTTAGGGTTACACCAAGGTACTTTATGTCATTTGTGGCTATTGTGAAGGGTGTTGTTGCTCTAATTTCTTTCTCAGCCCTTTTGTATTTTGTATACAAGAGTGCTACTGATTTTTTTGAATTAATTTTGTATCCGGCCACTTTGCTGAGGTGTTTATCAGCTGTAGGAGTTCCCTGGTAGAGTTTTTGGGGTCAATCATATGTACTATCATATCATCTGCAAATAGTGATAATTTGACTTCTTCCTTTCCCATCTGTATCCCCTTGATCTCCTTCAACTGTCTTATTGCTCTAGCAAGGACTTCCAGCACTATGTTGAAGAGATATGGAGAGAGTGGGCAGCCTTGTCTTGTCCCTGATTTCAGTGGGATTGCTTTAAGTTTCTCTCCGTTCAGTTTGATGTTGGCTATAGGCTTGCTGTAAATCGCCTTTACTATGTTTATATATGTGCCTTGTATCCCTGATCTCTCCAGTACTTTAAACATGAATGGATGTTGGATTTTGTCAAATGCTTTTTCAGCATCTAGGGAGATTATCATGTGGTTTTTTCTTTCAGTTTGTTAATATGGTGGATCACATTGATGGATTTCCATATATTGAACCACCCCTGCATACCTGGGATGAAGCCTACTTGGTCATAGTGGATAATATCTTTGATGTGTTCTTGGATTCGGTTTGCAAGTATTTTGTTAAGTATTTTTGCATCAATGTTCATAAGGGAGATTGGCCTGAAATTCTCTTTCTTTGTTGAGTCTTTGTGAGGTTTAGGTACCAAGGTGATTGTGGCTTCATAGAATGAGTTTGGTAATGTTCCTTCTGTTTCTATTTTGTGGAATAGTTTGAAGAGAATTGGAGTTAGCTCTTCTTTGAAGGTCTGGTAGAATTCTGTGTTGAAGCCATCTGGTCCTGGGCTTTTTTTGGATGGGAGACTTTTGATGACTGCTTCTATTTCTTTGGGGGATATAGGACTATTTAATTGATTTACCTGGTCCTGATTCAGCTTTGGTAAGTCAAATCGATCAAGAAAATTGTCCATTTCATTTAGGTTTTCAAATTTTGTTGAGTATAAACTTTTGAAGTAAGTCCTAATGATTGTTTGAATTTCCTCAGTGTCTGTAGTTATGTCCCCCTTTTCATTTCTGATTTTGTTGATTTGGGTGGTGTCTCTCTGCCTTTTAGTTAGCTAGGCTAAGGGTTTGTCAATCTTGTTGATTTTCTCACAGAACCAGCTCTTGGTTTCATTGATTCTTTGAATTGTTTTATTTGTTTCTAATTGATTGATTTCAGCCCTTAGTTTGATTATTTCCAGCCGTCTACTCCTTTTTGGTGTGTCTGCTTCTTCTTTTTCTAGGGTTTTTAAGTGAGCCATTAAGTTGCTTGAATGAGCTGTCTCGAATTTCTTCTTGAAGGCACTTAGTGCTATGAACTTTCCTCTTAGCACTGCTTTCATTGTGTCCCACAAGTTTGGGTATGTTGTGTCTTCATTTTCATTGAGTTCTAGAAAGGCTTTAATTTCTTTCTTTATTTCTTCCCTGACCCAGCTGTCATTTAGTAACAAGTTGTTCAGTTTCCATGTGTGTGTAGGCTTTTTGCTATTTCTGTTGTTGTTGAAGTCCAGCTTTATTCCATGGTGATCAGACAGGATACAAGGGATTATTTCAGTCCTCTTGTATCTGTTGAGGCTTGCTTTGTGACCAACTATATGGTCCATTTTGGAGAAGGTTCCATGAGGTGCTGAGAAGAAGGTAAATTCTTTTGTGTTTGGGTGTAAAGTTCTGTATATGTCTGTGAGGTCCATTTGATTCATGACCTCTGTCAGAGATATTGTTTCTTTGTTTAATTTCTGTTTTGTTGACCTGTCCTTTGTTGAGAGTGGGGTGTTGAAATCTCCCACTATTAATGTGTGGGTATCTATATGTGGTTTAAATTTTATCAATGTTTCTTTTACAAATGTGGGTGCTCTTGTATTTGGGGTATAGATGTTCAGGATTGTGATGTCTTCCTGGTGGAATTTTCCCTTGATGAGTATGAAGTGTCCTCCCCCATCTCTTTTTATTAATTTTGGTTGAAAGTCTATTTTATCAGATATTAGAATGACTACTCCTGCTTGTTTCTTGGATCCATTTGTTTGGAAAGTCGTCTTCCAACCTTTTATCTTCAGGTAATGTCTATCTTTGTGTCTTACGTGTGTTTCTTGTATGCAACAGATTGCTGGGTTTTGTTTACGTATCCATTCTGTTAATCTGTGTCTTTTTACTGGAGCGTTGAGTCCATTGATGTTGAGAGAGATTAATGACCAGTGGCTGTTAGATCCTTTGATTTTGATGTTGGCTGTGGTCATATGGTTGTGTACTTGGTTGTTTTTTGTTTTACTGTAGTGGGGTTATTTATTTCCTGCCAGAGACACGCAGTCTGGTGCCCTGGTGCCCTCGTGCCCACAGTTCTATCTGAGGCGGCGAATCAGGCGAGCAGGCAGGCGCCTGTGTCCCTGCTCTGGGTCCGGACTGGCTCTTGGGGCACCCGCGGAACCCGAGTCTTTTCCAGGGGATGTCTGGGTAACCTGAGGTTGGTCCCAATCGTTTCCTGCTCCGTGGGGTTATCTCTCGACTGGGAAATCCAGTCTATGGTATTGTGGGCCCACAGTTCAGTCTGGGACCGTGACCAGATTGCGCTGGCGGGTAGCTCTGGGCTGGCGACCAAGTGCCTGGAGGAACCAGGGATCTCTTCTGTGGTTTAGCTGGGTGAGTTAAAGCTGATTGAATCCCCCACCATGGGGTATCCTCTCACCTGTGAAACACAATCACTTGTGTTTTATGGTCGCGAGTTCTGATTGCTGGTCACTGTGCCAATCCTGCCATGCTGCTCCTCAGAATGAGAGTCCTCCCGGCGCCGCCATCTTGCCCCGCCCCCATATTTTATATTTTTTTTAAATTAAAAATACACAATTTTAATACAATCATAGCTACAGAAACTGTATAGCTCACTTATTCCTTTAAAGTAAACACTGTCAGCCTAAATAATATTCATTGGCTATCTAAGAAATATCACAATTTAATGAAATGTCTCCTGAAACTTCATATCATCATACAATCTTTGGTTTCCTCTCGGTTAGTTAGCTAGGAACACTATTACAAGATGACACAGGCTGGCTTAAACAACAGAATTCAATTTTCCTACTGTTCTAGAGGTAGGAAGGCTACAGCAGGGGCGGGTTTGGTAATGAGTTCTCTTGCTTTGCCCTATAGGCAGTAGTTTGTTGCTATATTATCTCGCATTACTTCTTTGTGACTCCATGATGGAAAACAATTGAGAGAGTCCTTAATGCCTCTTCTTTTCAGATTACTAACTGGATCTGGTTACTTCATAACATTATTTAACCTTTAATTGCCTCCATGAATGCCCTGCTTCCCAAATAGTCACAATCAAGGTTGAATACTTATTATAGAAGTTTGGGCCCCAGGTATTGGTAAATGGCATATGTACTATTCAGCATTTGTGAGAGTTTTTAGGACTAAAATATTAGTATTTTCTTAAGGAAGTCACACAATCTACTTTTTAGTTTTTCTTTACTTGCCTATGCAAATAACTTAATTGTTTTTATTTATTTTCTTAGAAAGTGAATTTCTTTCATCCTATTAAGTGACACATGTTGCAGTAAATGACGTCACTATAGATATTTATGCGCAGTTTTTCTTTGTGCAGAAGCATTTAGGTAAAAATCCAATGAATTCATCTTATATTTAGAGTAAATTCTAGATATATCATTTATTTAGGTTTTAATAGAGACACAATGGTTATTTAGAATGTAATTTGGAATAAGACCATAAACTTTCTATAAAATTTATCTCAAGATGGACCCTGAATAGGCCTGAATGCAAAACACAGAGGGAGGATAGAAGTACAATAATCTTGACGAAAGACGATGGGAGTCCAAACTAAGACAGTACCAGTTGGGATACTGAGGACAGCATGAAATGAATAGATGGTATTTTCACTAATATAAATTACAGATAATTCATTCTTGAAGCAAAAGAATGACATGAGTTTTATAAACTTGTTGAAGTTGACATGCCTCTAAGATTCTTTAGGTGAATATGTCTGGTAGATAAGACAATATGTAGACTGTCAATTCAAGAGAGAAGTCTGATATTAAAGTGTATGTCTTGGAGACTATAGAATGTGTGTGTATGCAAAAATAAACAATGACATTCCCAGCCTTTCATGAGTAAATAAAAGAAGAATCAACAAAGGAAATAGAATTAATGAAGCAAAGCACAAAGAAGAGAGACATCATGTCATTAAAGAGACAGCATTGTAATCTTTTTATTATAAACAGTAGTAGAGAATTGGTAAAATAAAACAATTAAGTGTAGGGAAAAAAGCAAGTATTTTTTAATGAAGAGTATAATTATAATTATAATATGGAGAATGATTACAAAATTTAAGAGTTAATAATAAGGGGAGTTGTAAAAACACAGCAAAATAACTAATATTATTAATGTTTGGATTTACTTCTGTGGTACATTTAGCTAATTATCTTAAAAAAATCTATGCTAAAATATAATACCAAGCCCTAAGCTTTATGCATCATAAACACTCAAAAACAATTTACTGGGCTGAATTGATCTGAGATTCCATTAACATGCAATTAATTTTCTGTGTTCTAGAATAATTGAGAGGTTTTTGTGCATTTGTCTTGTAATGAAGGTCATCGAACATTATTTATTGGAGTTCATGTGCCCCTGGGTGGAAGAAAGAGCCATCGTCGTCACAGGCATCGTGGTCATAAGCACAGAAAAAGGGACAGAGAGAGAGATTCTGGACTAGAGGATGGAAGAGAGTCACCTTCTTTTGGTAAGCATCATTCTCAGTGTTTTTAGTAAATTATTCACCAATGCATCAGCGGCTGTTTTTTATGCCAGCTACTCCTTCCTCTCAAAGTCTTTGTGTGTCTTTACTGATGCTTATACCTAAGATACGCGTCACTGCGGGCAACATTGGCTCATGAGCAGAGTCCAAGCAGTGTGCCTTCCTGAACATCATTTTTTTCAGTTTCTTTAGTAGAATAAATCATTTTCTTTTCGTCTTATTATACAAAGGGGCAGAAACTACTTTTTTTCTTATAAATGCTCTGCCTTTGTGGATTTACGTTATTATTAACTGAATCCTTACCTTGCACCATGCATTGTTCCAGGTTTTGGAGGGTGAATTGATAAGCAGAACAAAAAAGAAATCTCCCTGTCCTCATGGAACAAATCAAATAGTCACATGTTGAAACTGATACTATTTTTAAACACCGTCACACTCAATTGGAGATTTGATATTCTGTATAATGAGGATACGTGGTATTTCTATGCTGAAAGAAAGCTTCAGAGAAATATTCTGATGACTTAAATATTTTTCTTACTTGGAAGGAGTCCAAAGAATATATTATAAGATATAAGTGCCTCAAAATTGTTCAAGATTTACTTTCCAAAGACATGTAGGATAAATAGAGAAGAATTCCAAGGAGCATGCATTTCATTTGCTAAGGAATATGGATGTTTCATGTTGTCTGTTATAAAGTGGTGTATGGGGAAGTGAAACATGGAATAATTTGAGTTAAAGTTTCTAGATCAGCCATCAATTTAACAATGTCTTTGGAGAAGTGTTTGAAGTTTGGTACTCTTGAGAATTCTCTCACTTCAGTATACACTCCATACCATCAGACACGATGCTGCTTGTTATCTGACTTGGGGTTTTAAGAACTGAACTATTTTAAAAGAACAGACCTTCTATATAGCTAAAAGTGATTCTTCTGTGTCACAGACAAATGATGACAGGTTTCAGGTCACCAGAGCCAATAGTTAGAATGTGATCTTGTGGTGAGTTCAAAGGTTCTGGCTGTTTAGTGGTGGCAGTGAAGACGTTTGATTGTATAAGATCTTTAATAACAACAAATGATTTTACATCACTTTGACTTTTTTAATTTTTAGCTGTGTGTATGTATGGGTTCATGTGTATATACAAATGTATTTGTCCATATGGGTACAAATACATGTGTGTCTGTGTGTCCATGTGGAAATCAGAAGCTGACCTCAGGTATTTTCTTCAGTTGCTATTACCTTTATGTTTTTTGAGACAAGACCTCTAAGTGAACTGGGAGCTCACTGATTCAGTAGGTCTGGCTAGGAAGCATCATTTCTCTCCTCTTCACTTTCTTATAGTGCTAGACCTGCCAGGACTGGCTTTTATGTAGCTGTTAGGGATCGGAATTCAGGTTTTCATGCTCCCTCAACAAGCATTTTACTGACTTTTTTCCCCTTACTTTTGATACGCTAATCAATACATACAGTAGCTTTCATAAAAATGAGATCATAAACATCAATTCTCCTCTCTTCTGTAATAAATGGAAACTCTTCAGTTTTGTGTCTTATTTTTAGTACCATTATTTACTTATATTGAACCATTAAAATTTTTTATTTTTTAGTGAGAATATTAATGAGTGTTATAGAATGGCCAGGTTGAAGCATGAACTTATAGTCAGTAAAATTATGAATGACATTGAGAGAAATTCACCTTTAGTCACTCAAAGAATGTTACAAGAAAGATTAGGAGGATTATGTCAGTTATATGAAAATATAAACTCTATTGGCCAGTTATTTAAAACATGATACACAAAGATACTGTATACCTTAGCACAATTTTGGAATTAGATAGAGTACTTTTCTAGGTTTAGATGGCAAGTTGAATTAACAACCAGATGACTGATTCCGAAATCCCTTCTGCTTTTTCCAGTTCACTACTCTCAGTACTCTTAGAAGGCTTGATCTTAAGTAGAGTGTTTTTCCTGTTTTTGAATTTATACAAAAGAGATCCTTCAGTCGGCCCTGTTCAATATTCATTTTGTTGAAATCACTGATGTTTTTGGATATAGCCTATTTTATTAATATTATTGTTATGTAATATACAAATGTACTTCTATATGTTACATATTTTACTCTTGAAGAAATTTAGAGTGTAGGAGCAAACTATGAGTAAAGTTTCTATGGATACTTTTATTTATGTCTGTCAGTACACATTTAGACCTTTTATACCCATGAACCAGATTGCTTATTTCTTCACCATGGTGTGTGTGTATTTTTAACACTAACAGATAATACCAAATACATTCCCCAAACACTCTGACTAGCAAGCCAATGTAATTTATTTCATTTTACTTTTGTTTTTAATTTTTAAATTTTATTTATTTATTCACTCTACATCCCAGTTGTAGCCCCCCCCCCCTCCTGGTCCCATCCTCCTTCACTCTTTCCTATATACCCCCTACTCCCCACCTCAGGAAAGGGAAGTACCCTTACACCTACCCAATCCCAGCACGTCTTGTGATATCAGGACTGAGTACATCCTCTATGACAGTGGTCTGGCCAGGCAGCCCCACCAAGGGGATGTGATCGAAATCCATGTAAGAGAGTTCTTGACAGAGACAACCTCTCCTCCCCTTGAGAGGGTCCCACATGAAGACGAAGCTGTCCCCTAGGGGGCCTGGTGCCAGTCCATACATGGTCCTTGGATAGTGTTGGTCTCTCTGCAAACCCCCGGGCCAAGGTAGTTGGATCTGTTGGTCTTCTTGTGGAGATCCTGTTCACTCCAGGTCCTTCTTCCTCCCACTCTTCTACAAGGCTCCCTGCTCTCTACCCAGTATTTACCTGTGGGTCTCATCATCTATTTCCATTGAATGCTGAGTGGAGCCTCACAACAGACAGCTATGCTAGGCTCTGTCTGCTAGCACAGCAGAGTGCTCTTAATAGTATTAGAGGTTGGCTCTTTCCCATGGGGTGCCCACATTCCCTCAGTCTCTGCTCTATCTTTATCCCTGCACATCTTGTAGGGAGGGTAAATTTTGGATTGAAGTTTTTGTGGGTGGATTGGTGTTCTCCTCTCTCTACTTGGTTACAGGGTGCCATGTTTCTCAATAGTAAGGGTCTCCACTAGAGTAACCCCCAAATCCTTCCTGAAGATTATAGGTCTCAAATCTGGCTCAGAGATACCCCAAGCCAAGGTTTCTCTTCTCTCTGCATGTCCTCTGTACTCCTTCCCCTCCTGCACTGCTTTCCTACATCAGATCCTCACCCTCATTTCCCTCAGCCATACCTATCCTATCCTCTGTTCCCTCTCCTCAAGCACTTCCTCTGTCTTTTCTATTTCACCTTCTCAGTGAGATTCATGCAGCCTTTCTTGGGCCCTTCTTGCTACTTGCTTCTTTGGGTCTGTGAATTGTAGTTCGGTTATCTTATACTATATGACTAATATCTGCTTATAACTGTGAACATTCCATGTGTGTCTTTCTGGGTCTGGATTACCTCACTAAGGATGATCTTTTCTAGTTACATCCATTTGCCTGCAAATAGCATGTTTCCCTTCTTTTTAATGGCCGAATAGTATGCCATTGTGTAAACATACCACAATTTCTGTATCCATTCTTCAGTTGAGGGACATCTGGGTTGTTTTGAGTTTCTGGTTTGCACTCCCACCAGCAGTGGAGGAGTGTTCCCCTTGCTTCACATCCTCTCCAGCATATGCTATCACTTGAGTTATTGATCTTAGCCATTTTGACAGGTGTAAATGGAATATCAGAGTTGTTTTGATTTGCATTTCTCTGATTACTAATAATGTCGAGCATATCTTTAAGTGCTTTTCTGCCATTTAAGATTCCTCTGTTGAGAGTTCTGTTTAACTCTGTACCCCATTTTTAATTGGATTATTTGTTTTGTAAGTGTTTAATTTCTAGAGTTCTTTATTTATTATGGATATTAGACCTTTGTCAGATATAGGGTTGTTGAAGATATTTTCCCAGTAGGTAGGCTGTCATTTTTTTCTGTTGACAGTGTCCTTTGCCTTACAGAATCTTTTCAGTTTCAAGAGGTCTCGTTTGTTAATTGTTGATCTTAGAGCCTGGGCTATCGATATTCTGTTCAGGATGTTTTCTCCTGTGCCAATGAGTTCAAGCCTCTCCCCCACTTTTTTTTTCTACTGGATTTAGTGTCTCTGGTTTTATGTTAAGGTCCTTGATCTGCTTGGATTTGAGTTTTGTGCAGAGTAATAAATATGGATCTATTTACATTTTTCTACATATAAACATCCAGTAAGACCACCACCATTTGTTGAAGATGCTATCTTTTTTCCATTGTATGGTTTTGGCTTCTTTGTCCAAAAAAAAAATCAACCATTCATAGGTGTGTGGGTTTAATTCTGGGTCTTTGATTCAATTCCATTGATCAGCTAGTATGTTTCCATGGTAATACCACACAGTTTTTATTATTGTTTCTCTGTAGTACAGCTTGAAATCAGGGATGGAGATGCCACCCGGAGTTCTTTTATTGTATAAGATTGTTTTAGTTTCTCTGTTGTTTTTTTTTTTTTTTTGTTTTGTTTTGTTTTTTAATATGAAGTTGGGAAATTGTTCTTTCAAGGTCTGGAAATAATTGTGTTGGTATTTTGATGAGAATTGCATTGAATCTGTAGATTGCTTTTGTTAAGATGTCTATTTTTACTATGTTAATCCTTCCAATCCATGAGCATGGGAGATCTTTCCATCTTCTGATATATTCTTCAATTTCTTTCTTCAGAGACTTGAAGTTTTTATCATGCAGGTCTTTCACTTCCTTGGTTAGAGTTACACCACGATACTTTATATTATTTGTGGTTATTGTGAAGGGTGATGTTTCTCTAATTTCTTTCTCAGTCTGTTTATTACTTGTATACATGAGGGTTACTGACTTTTTGAGTTAATTTTGTATTTAGCCACTTTGCTGAAGGAGTTTATTAGCTGTTGGGGTTCCCTAGTAGAATTTTTGGGGTTACTTATGTTCACT